AAACAAGTTATGTAATGCTCTGTATGAAGTTATCCAGTTACATAATTAGTACCAATGTATTTTGAGTTCCCAGAATACAGATTTATGTGGTTCTTACATATCATGGTGCTCCCCTCACTTATCTAGCCACTCTGACTCACATATGATGCTGAATGCTATTGGCTTTACTAGTGTTTCACCTGTCCTGCAAAGGCAGAAGAAAATAATGTTTTGATTAATGAAACAGGTGGGTCCGATTAATCATGTGGTATGACTATGCTCAGAGGGACCAGAAGAATTGTTTAATGAAGAACATGACCAGAGGTCTCACCAGGAAGCAGGGAGAGACAGAGACATTTAAACGTCATTGGAGGCCATGAGGGATGTAGGGGATGAAGTAAAAGATTAAAAATATATATTTTTCAGCTATGGAAAAAATTAATTCCCTGAAGGTCTTCTGCCTGTAAATAATCCTTAGACCCTGCTATCAGCATTATAAAATGAGTTTTTGAAAAGCATTCTGCAGAGGAAATAACTCCTCCTCCATGCAGATTATTTCTGAATTGCTAAAGAATATACAGTAATACCCAGAGCACACTGGTGTGTATATGGATTTGTGGTCCTTTTAGAGCAAAGGAATCAGATTGCCCTTATGTAAATCACTATGATACAGCTAATCCGAAGTTTCAACTCTCTTTATAACCACCCGGCAGTCAGTTGAGACTTCCTTGTGACTCTCTGATGCAGTCAAGATAGATAAAGTAACCAGGATGGTTGTTTCCAGAATTTGGATTTTCTTACTATAGAGAATGACTACAGTCTGAACTTTGTGTACAACTTTTTAAACTAGAAAAATACATTGAAAAACTGAAAAGATGAAGAAAGAACAAATACTAAGGAAATCTGATCCATAGTTACTTTTATTATTTGATTTACTTGTTTTATATATTTTAAATTATTTTCTGCTTACTTTGTCCGTACACAATATTTTAGTTCACTTTTCTAGATACTTGATATGGTTTGGCTGTGTCCCCACCCAAATCTCATCTTGAATTGTAGCTCCCATAATTCCCACATGTTGTGGGAGGGACCCAGTGGGAGGTAATTGAATCATGGGGTCAGGTCCTTCCCATGCTCTTCTCATGATAGTGAATAAGTCTCATGAGATCTGATGGTTTTAAAAAAGGGGAGTTTCCCTGCACAAGCTCTCTTGTCTGCCATCATGTGAGACATGCCTCTTACCTACCACCACGATTGTGAGGCCTCCCCAGCCACATGGGACTGTGCGTCCATTAAACCTCTTCTGTAAATTGCCCTGTTTCAGGTATGTCTTTATCAGCGGTATGAAAATTAACTAATACAATGTAGTGAAGTTTCTTGTTTATTTGGTTTTGTTTTGCTTTTATATACTTTCCAGATTTATCCTCCTTTTTGTTATCCTTTGTTGCTGTTATGGTTTGGAGCTTTCATATTTCTAGTAGTTAATTTTAAATCATTGATACTGGATCTCTTATATTCTATTTGCAAAAATGAGCTTAGATTCAATGGTTTTCACAGTGTCTTCAATATTTGGAATCCCATGACTCATTGATTCTATAAATAATTATGAGATCAGACTTTGCAAACTTTTTAAAGGTTATTGAACGAGATGGGAAGTCTTTAAAATTGTTTTCACAGCGTACTTTATAAGTGCATAGCACAAATGTGAATTTGAAAGTTTTAGTGTTTTAATATGAATTTTAATGGGATGGCAGGAGTTGTGCTGGAATTGGCCAACAACTCTAGAGAAAGAAGGGCTGTAATGAATTGTGTCTAAAAACAAACCTCGCTTCTCCCAATCCTGGAATGGTGCGGAAGATGGTAGTTCCTCTTATGACTCATGGTGCAGTAGAAAGATGGCGTAGGAGGTGGGGGCTGTAGGCTCCCAGCACACTGCATGCAATGTGATGGTCCACCTGGAGAGGGCATTGCTGGAATGTACTGGTGACCACTGTCAAAGAATCAGGTGGCCCCTCTCTGAGGGTGTCCTTCAGAGGGAGTTGAAGTAAAGCTAAGCATTACTCAAAGTAATCCAGGTAAACAGAGAGGGAGGCAGACACAGAGAAAAAGACACAGGGAGAGGAAGGAAGGGAGGGTGGGAGGAAGGAAGGAATGAAAGAAGGAAAGAAGGAAGACAGGGAGGGAGGGAGGGAAAGAGGGGCAAGAGATAATTGAAGTGATTTAATCTATGTTAGCAATTGAAGACTGAAAAATCCTGTAATATAAAATTTTAATTATTTCAATCCTTAATTTGATAACTGATTTAACCACCAAACCCATTTTTGCATGGAAAATCTATTAATTACTGGGATACAATTTAGAGAATGCTGGTATAGACAAGTAAAGAACATGTTTGGTTGAAAGGTGACGTGAAATTACCACGAGAATATGTGGATTTACAATGATTCTCAGAATACTTTTTGGTTTATTTCAATCCTATGATTAGATCAAATACATAGCCAAATAACATCCACATTTGGGGAACCTTGTGCATTACGTACACTCACTCCTGCTCTTCTTATTCCTCTCCATATTTTTTACTTCTGCAACAACCTCCCTGTGTCTGTGTTTAATGTAAAATTACGTATACTGTTCATTTACTAAGCACAGTATATACTTTCAATAACTAAAGAAAGAAAAAGCACTTTTAAGAGTGAAACATAAATAAAAAATCATGGCTATCCTAGCACTTTGCAATGGCAGGTGTTCTATGAGGATTAAACTCTGCTTCTTTTAGGTAATTTTACGGGGTATATATGTATGTATTCACAGCAGAAATATTAATTCAAACAAATCTTAAATTATCCTAAGAAAGTTCTCTGTTTGATTGTCCTCAGGTGCCCCATGCTGTAGTGAGATTTTGACCAGAAAGGGCAGAGTTTGAATCCAAGACCTCACTTAGACTGTAGTGAACAAAGTACACACCTTTCTTTTACTCTTTCTGCATGCACGGAATGAGTTACTTAGTACTTAGTCCCTTATAGTGTTTTGTCAATGTGTGAATACTTATAAGATGTGATGGCAACTTCTTGTTATATCTTGCATTTCCCATAGGCTTTCTTAACTCTCTTTTATCAAGACATTTCAGTTGTCCTAAAGTTTAATACTACTAAAAATATTTTATTCCATGGGGAATAAAAAAAGAAAGAAGATGGTAGACTATGATTTCTTTATCAAATGCTGATGGAAAGGATTATGTGGGGAAAAAATAAAACTCTTAAAGAGAACAGTGCTGGTTCATGATCTAAACCACTGTTTGTCAGTACTCTACAGTTATATAAGCAAAAACTCTATTTTGACTTTCAAATACCTGGCTTTGTCTGGAATAAAATTTAGCTTGACTGTTTATGGAGCTTGAAATTTCCTTAAGTAAGTGCCATACAAGATAATGAGGCGAGTCTTCCCTATCCCAGCCTTAAAACTGTACTACTTTATGTGGTTTTATCTGTATTTACTGAATCCGTTATTATAAACCTAATTCAGTTGTTTGCATATTTATTTGCCCACTATATACATTGATAAGTAGATATGCAAGACAAGATCAAGAGAAACAGTTGCATGAAAAACTATTATTCATCTAATCCAAATGGTTGAACACCTCAACTATTGGATTACTTTTTGAATGTCACCTCATCTCTTTCTTCATCCCCAAACAAAGCATCCTTTCTGCATATCCAGAGACTGATTGCTTGCTTACCATCAGAAAAGAGAATGGAAAAAGTCTTGCCTAAAGGACAGCCATATGGCTTAGAACTAAAGAAGAAAGATGGGAAATGTGGAGTTGGGTGGAGAGACCCGTAAAAGGAACAAGCACTAAGTTTGCTTTTAGAGTAAGCCATTTTATTATGCCAACAGAACTTTTCCAAGTCTCTTACAAGGAACTTACACCTCTCCTTCAATCAGAACTGTCCATAGGGCATCGCTTAATCCCACTGTACACTTTCTCACCAGGTTATGCTCTTGTTCTCCCATGGTATCTTGCCGTGGATTGCCTTCATCTTCTTTTTCTACTTATACAAATATGTCCAGGTGGAAGCATTCTTGGACTGTTCCATCTGAAGGATACAATTTTCTCTTAATTCATATATTGCTTAACTGACAATCCCAATGAGAAAGTTTCAGAAATAGAATCTGAGAAATACTGAGGAAAAAAAGAAATATTGAGGAAAAAAAGAAATATTGAGGAAAAAAATCCTGAACCAGATATTCAAACATCTCATAGTTTGATAGATATGTAACCTCCTTAACATACAGTAAGTAGTGTCCATGCTACATCTCTAAAATGTTGTCAGGATAGAATGAGTCATGTCTGTGAAATGTTTTGTATAAGATAATTAGGTATACTTAGGAAGGTGTTTGCATTGTTTATACCGAATTAAGCTATGATGATTAACATTCTGGTGAATATTATCTTCTTTCATCTGTTTTTCATATTGCCTCAACCCAATTAAAAGTATATTTAGCTTGTACCTCATAAAGAAAAGTTTGTTTGCTTTTCCTGATGATTAAAGTAATAAATATCTATTACAGAAAATTGTTAAAAGTACACACAAATATAAATAAAAATTAAGTATAGTGTTGTAACCAAGAAATAATAACTATATCAAAAAAGAGCCACATTTATATATTCTTATATATGTGTATATAGGTGTGTATCTTTGTAAACTGCTTTGTTCACTTATCAGTGTATCTTTTGCATATTCCTATTCCCCAGTTCTATTTTTGCTTCCTCAAGTGCAGCCATAGTATTTTGACTTCAGTTGTGTCTCACTAAACATGTCATACTGTGCCTTGGGTAGAATAAATATTCAATACATTGGCTTTATTCACAGAATGACTTAAGGCCTTTTGATTGTTTAAATGTAAAATTATGTGAAACAGAATTTCTGTCTTTAAATATTCCAGTTGTGTTCTTATTGATGAACTGAGGCCACTCCATGTAACTATGACTTATTTTTCCTTTTCCTTTCCCTTCTGTTTAGTTTGTTGCCCAGCCCAATTGTCAACAGCTGCTGGCATCTCGCTGGTACGATGAGTTTCCAGGCTGGAGGAGAAGACACTGGGCAGTGAAGATGGTGACATGTTTCATCATAGGACTTCTTTTTCCTGTCTTCTCTGTGTGCTACCTGATAGCTCCCAAAAGCCCACTCGGACTGTTCATCAGGAAGCCATTTATCAAGTTTATCTGCCACACAGCCTCCTATTTGACTTTTTTGTTCCTGCTGCTGCTTGCCTCTCAGCACATCGACAGGTCAGACTTGAACAGGCAAGGTCCACCACCAACCATCGTCGAGTGGATGATATTACCATGGGTCCTGGGTAAATGTGTTACTCTAGAAAATATAATAAAAACATGTTACTGCCATGGAATTTTGTTGCTCAGAAAATATTCATTAACGTTTGGGAACCTAGGAATGTTTAGAACAGGTTCTGACTATTGTAGCTCCAAGAACCTAACCCCCAAAGCCAAACAACTGTTTTACAAGCTGCAGTGGATCTGCTTACAAAAGCAGTTTAAGAAATGTAACCTTAAGTTTTCGAATTACAGATTTTAATGACTTCATATTCCATGACTGACCGTCTGAGTTTGTTTATTAAAACTTCTCAACATATCTCATTGACTATATGTAAATAATCATTCCAATATCCCTCCATAGATAAGTCTTCTGAAAGTACATACAGATTACTCTGAAGAATTAGTGATTCTATATATAAAGTAACTGAAACATTTTTTAAAAATCCATTCAAATTTATCTTTGAAATCTATATTAATTTAAAATAAGAGGAAATTAAACAACAGGACATTGGCCACTCTCTTTTTGTTCTTGTCATAGAAAGTTGTGTTGGGTCTGAAGCAAACCACCGTAAAGTAGAACCCCTTAAAGTAGCCAGTGAAAACCTTGTTTTCCGGCCGGGCGCGGTGGCTCACGCCTGTAATCCCAGCACTGTGGGAGGCCGAGGCTGGCGGATCACTAGGTCAGAAGATCGTAGCCATCCTGGCTAACACGGTGATATTCCGTCTCTGCTAAAAATACAAAAAGAAATTAGCCCGGCGTGGTGGCGGGCGCCTGTAGTCCCGGCTACTCGGGAGGCTGAGGCCGGAGAATGGCGGGAACCCGGGAGGCGGAGTTTGCAGTGAGCTGAGATCCGGTCACTGCACTCCAGCCTGGGTGACAGAGCGAGACTCCATCTCAAAAAAGAAAAAAGAAAAAAAAAGAAAAGAAAAAAAAGTAGCTAGGGAAAACCTTGTTTTCCTTTCTCCTTGTTATTATAGCCATGGTTAAAATGTACGTTTTAATTATGCTTTTCTCTGTACTATGGTTTGCTGAGAAATCACATTTTCTCAATTTAGCTCATCATTTTAAACCTCTCTGCTATCATAGTCACCTCATCATTTGGCTATTAGAAAATATGTGACAAATTTCATGATTCAAAATCTCAGAATTCAGTTTGGGTTACTCTCAACACTGCTGAAGAGACTAAAATGACATTGAGACAGAAAAAGAAAAAAAAAGACAGCCTATTTGAGATAGACAGGTTTTTCAATTTTAAAAATTGTAAAAACCATACTTTAAGTATTGTCAATAAGAAAAGTTAACAGGGACAAGATTTGATGTTTTACATAGGATAGCTAAACAATATCCTCAGGTGAACTTTAAAATAGAGTAGCTTCTCATTAATCTAAAGTGCATAAAGTGTGATCTTGTTTAAATTAGAAAAAAGGGTCAGGCCGGGCAGGACACAGTGGCTCATGCCTGTAATCCCAGCGCTTTGGGAGGCCAAAGTGTGTGGATCGCTTGAGATCAGAAGTTCGAGTAGTACCCATCTCTACTAAAAATATGAAAATTAGCTGGGCATGGTGGCCAGAGCCTGTAATCCCAGCTACCTGGGATGCTGAGGCAGGAGAATGGCTTGAGCCTGAGAGTCAGAGGTTGCAGTGAACCGAGATTGCACCACTGCACTCCGACCTGGGTGACAAAGTGAGACTCTGTCTCAAAAAAAGAAAGAAAAGAAGAAAAATTTAAAAGGCTCACATAATCTATAAGTGTCCTGAATGTCCTTTGGAATAAAATAATTATGACATTGCAGTTGGTATTAAAGATAAAATAACCCTTCCTGATTCATTTAAATTAAATATATCCCATTAAGAATTTTTTAAAGGAGTTTTCTTAGAAAATGTCTTGGGAACAATTCTTAATGAAGAGTTTAGGACATTACATTTTCCGTTATGGATAACTTATATTGAATGTCTAAAAATTCTAGTGTCCCAAATAAAATGTGGAACACTTCATTTGGAAAAAATACTATAGATACAATAAAATGTAAGCATGTAGAGTATTCCTAATCCTTCCTTGACACCATCAATGAAACTGTGTCAAGTACTTTCCAGGCAGAATGTGCAGTGAAGGATGATAGTGACAAAAGTAAAGCAACAAAGAGCGCTTCTGCTAATGAAGCTTAAAATTTACTGGAGTAAATGGGTAATAAACAGATTTGTGACATAATGTCATAAAATGGTAAATAGTATTTAAAAAATAGGAGGTCCAAAGTTCTAATTACTTGTCCAATGAAAACAGTCATTGGCTGCCCGCTACACACCAAGATTCTAACAGAATATTTCATGAAAGCTGGCTGGAAGAAACTACATCCAACCACAGCTAAATGATTATATGAGGTATAGATTTAATTGTATTATAATTCCAGCTTAGAAAAATATCTGCTATAGGCAACATTTTCTTAAGATTTCCTGACTGTAGGGAGTTAATATTTCTGAGAATTTTAGGATGAAAAGAGATTTCCTAGGGAAAAAAAAAAAAAAAAAAAACCGGCATGCAAATGATCATCTTGCTTAAATAATGGGGCATGAGGAAAAAATGTTTATATATCAAAGAGCTCTGTCAAACTGTTATATTGTTCACCAAGTCTGGTGAATTGTGAATGCCTCATATCCGATACTGAGTTCGCAATGCCTTGCTAGATCCATGATTAGAAGGAGTGTGTGCTGTGTTGGGCTGTTCTGCAAAAGGCACTGGACTTAAATCCATGCTCAGGTTCTACCATTAGGAGACTATTAAATTATAGGTGGTCACAAGCTCTCAGGATTTTCAGTGTCTTCATCTACAAAATGCAAGATTTAGAGTGAATGACATCTAAAGTCCCCCTGAATCGTAGCATCCTGTCTGCTAAGCTACCATTGTTAAAGCAGAGAAAATTGATCCTTTCGTGGGAGGTATGGTGTTGAGGGGGAAAACAAAGCTAAAGATATCAGAGAAGGAACACTGTAATCTTTTACCAAAAATGTGATATATATAAAAAAGCATGGTCTGATTTGATGACTATATTAATGAATCCTCTATATTCTCTTGCCCTGTCCTACTGTCTGATAAAGTAAGTGGCCATGCGTCCCTTAGCAGAACATTTCATAGTTCTTTGTTTGCAAGGTTCTAGATTTATAACATCAAGATTGAATGACTCACGGAAATGATGTGGCTTATAAGTGTGTCCCTCATCATGTTAATTGTCCCAATGGTAGATTGGAACTCTGTTTATGGTTTTTTCTCAAGTCTTCTCGAACTGACTTAGATTTTCAAACCATGTCAGCTCTGTAAGTTACTTGTTGTATAAAGTAATACTTCTTTATTTGTACTAAATTTACTTTTCTTCCATTTTCAAAAGATCTTCCTCACATTCATAATATCTTGATGTATGAGAAATGATCACTTTATACCTCTCATTTGTTTATCCTAGCAAAACACTTTTCACTTATTTGTTTTATATATTTATATCATAAATGTCCATGTTTATCTAGGTAGGAAAGTTCTCTAAATTTAAAGCCTAACCTTTCAAACCAATTGCTTTTTCTTCTTAAGAAGTATGATTTTGCCTGGGCATCTTGCAGTTTTTCAACAATAAGAACTGTATTCAGCCTCATAGAACCAGTTATCTTGTGTTTCAGTACAATAGCAGAACAAGGTTTCTGTTATTTCAGTATCTTTCTTGTTGAAGTTCAACATTGTTGACTATTTAAATCTATTGTGTTTTATATCTTTAGAAAGCAGTTCATAATGGCTCTTCTATCCTTCTGCCATGGTGTCAGCGATAAGTTGGAACTCACCGTCCAACAAAGCTTTTAGAATTATTTTTACTTCAGCCTTGCTTGTATTTGAAGGTTATCGACCTTTCCTTTCTGCCATCAAACAGCCTCAAGAGATCTTCTTGCACATATTTGCTGTCAGGATGAACTTTATTATATAAGAAAGAAAGCCAAAAAGCTTTACAGGGACCAAACTTATGATGCTGGTCGTTGTGATTAGTTCTAACTAATGGAGAAATTAGTTCTTTCTAATGGAGAAAACTAATCATGAATAATTCTGTTAGAACTCTCAATAGATGAGTAAATTCCAGACAGATAGACACCAATATCCTTCTCAGGCTGTCAAATTGCCCACTTAATCTAGAGTAAAAAGTAAAACAGTTGTTTGATCAAGCATTTGTAGGGACCTGATAACAGAGCTATACTTTTTGGGTGTCTGGAGAAAAAGTTTCATTGGAAACACTGAATGATGGATTAGAAAGAGCTTGAGGCTACCCAAGATCAGAGACTTGGGTACTTTTACGTTCTCCATGACTGAGGCTCTTAACTTATTCAGGATTTGATTTTTAATATATTATACTAGGAATATGCAATGAATAGAATACGATAAATTTATTTTTATTAAAAAATTACATGAAAACTAAAGCATGTTATATGTGTAATGTGCATTATGAGAATTCATCGAAATTATGGCAAGAGTTTTATCTCAAAGAGAGGTCATTTATTTCTGAAGATAATATGTAGTAAGAGAAGGGAAAAACAAACTTTTGAATGCTAGTTTTCAGGCCTTCCTGAAACCCAGTTTGAATTTTCCCTCAGAATTCATTCCAACTCTGATTGTAACCCACAAATTTTGTTAAAACTTATCCCTTTGCACAAAAGAGTATGGATATGTGTAAAATTTCCAGATGTAGACTTATGTAATTAGCTTAGTAAAATCAATTATAAAATGGATAATGCTTTTCATGAAAGAAGCAGAACTTTGGACTGGGCGTGGTGGCTCACACCTGTAATCCCAGCACTTTAGGAGGACGAGGTGGGCAGATCACGAGGGGTTCGAGACCAGACTGGCCAACATAGTGAAACCCCATCTCTATTTAAAACACAAAAATTCGATGGGCATAGTGGCGAGCACATGTAGTCCCAGCTACTCAGGAAGCTGAGACAGGAGAATCACTTGAATTCGGAAGGCAGAGGTTGCAGTGAGCCGAGATTGTGCCACTGC